TTAGGGTTGTGAATACAATTAACATGAAACCTTCATCTTGCAACTGCGCAAGCAACTAACAAATACAAACCGACTACAAGCCTCGATCTTCAATCTCAAGATGAATCTCGACAGAAATTGAAGGGAGCTGCAAGTACCTGAAAATTAGTATACTAACCACTAGGTTTTACTACGTGTCGTGTCCGGTGTTTCAAAAGGAAAAATGGGAAGATTCTTGAAGAACAACTCGATAAAAATCAGGCCAGTATGTTAATTACCAAATCTATTGTGCTTGTGCGAAGAGCTGGCTAAGAAAATGTGCAGTTATATGCGTGCGACTAGATGTAGCTACGTAGCTATGCGTATATTATTGATGATTATAGGTTTAACGATGCAAACTGAAAAAAAGAAAAAAGTTTGGAAGTCTATCAGTCCTGGCAACTAGTGGCAACCACATACACAATATCAACTTGGACGGTTTTACTGGTTTATTGCTGTTTATTGCTTTGAGTTGCTCATTTCAGACGGTTCGTACTGATACGGCCTTTAAATGCAATTCTATTTGACTAGTATTAGTGAGTAACAGTATATGTACACACAAATTTACAAAAATAAATGTACAAAAATATTGACACCTGTCACCGTTACTATTTTTATAAGGTAAAAAAAATAAAAGCATTACTATTGGTATGAGAATATACGTTACACTTAGTCTCGCCACTCAACTTCGTGGAAGCTTTGAGGCGAATACACGGTGCAACAAGTACAGTGACAAGTGGTGGGCGATATTTTTTAATTAACTATCTTGGAAATTAACACTGTACACATGATTCTATGTTTTGCGATCTTGTTTGTGATCTTAAGATCACTGCTATTGTGCAACACAGGCATCGTTTGCTCTTCAATGAATCTTCTTTTGGCCTTTTGAACACCTATCGACACGTAGCATAATGTATGGTATACTAATGTTCCTACACTTGCAGTTCTAATTCGATGTCGAGACTGTTGTTGGTATATTATCAACATCATTACTCATGGACGGTTTGAAATCAGTCGGTAAGTTGCGCATCTTCAAAACGAAGGCATCACATTAACTCTAACCTAAACACTAATGTATAAAATTAATGACCAACGAGATTTTGGAGGTCAATTATTTTGTATGTATCGTTGAGTTTATAATTATTAACACGTTCCGTGC